GGAGAGTATGGTAGGTGTTACTCTGGGTCTGCTGTGGAGAGTATGGTAGGTGGCACTCTGGGCCTGCTGTGAAGAGTATGGAAGGTGGCACTCTTGGCCTGCTGTGGAGAGTATGGTAGGTGTCACTCTGGGCCTGCTGTGGAGAGTATGGTAGGTGGCACTCTAAGCCTGCTGAGTCTGCCTGTCCCTACACATCATCAAGACCTGTCTGTGATAACCGTGTGCTCACCTTAATACACCAACTGTTATGATACAATGTAATGTTATGAAATAATTCATAATTTACAATTTAATATTCAGTGAAGAAGTGTCTTAGGTGTCATGTAATTACATGAGCCCCTTTATAATATAAATGGAAACTTATGTGTGGTGTATATTTTGATGATGTGTTAAGTGTTATTTATATTAACACTTTCGCGCTATCTGGACGCGCCGGCGCGTTCGGTTTCGTCTAACGTAAACGCATAGTGGACATAAAGTTATGTCAACTTTTAAAATATTTGTATAAAATTCAATTTTTATCCGATTTACTTTGGGTTTGTTTCAAACTGCGCGCTATGAGGCTCTCTTTCTCACCACTAGGCTGCATGGTACAATAAGTTCATGAAAGGTGTGGATAACTTCGATCAAATGGTATTTTGTCCCAAACGGGTTGCAGGTGGGTGACTTTAGCCGTTTATACTGGTAATTCTTCCCCCATATCATGTATTATATGCATATGTCTGTTTAGGGAATTTTATTCCGATCAATATACAACCAAAAATAACTGTGTGCAACAAGTATAATCTTGACAAACATAACAAAAGTAAAAATATTTCGTGTGTGTTTGACGCTCACTGATATGTTCCAGCGTTGTTTTATATTTGTCGCTATTCTAACTTACGCTTTGTTGATATTTTTTACCTATGGGCACATAGAACATTCTATTGCGAACACATTGACATAAAAATGAATGACGTACATAGAAAATTAATGTCATGAGAGTGAAATAAGTATAAACTTTCAAAGCGCCGTGCGTCGTCCCGTCACCGATACCGGGTAACAATTTCACCACTTCCCACACTCTTGCGGGCGGGCTGCATCATTATTCTACGCTTATATTCATATCACCGTGTTGGGAATTTCATTGCGAGTCCATTGATACCAAAATTAACGCTGTAGAACAAGTGTGGAGGTGATTACAATCCCAAGAGTAAAAACATTTTGTTGCTGATGGGCGCTCACGGCGAGTCATCTACGTAGTTATTTATTTGGTGCTGGTATCCCTATATGTTTCGTGACTTATTTTACTAATGTTCTTCTAGAGAATTTTATTGCGAACACGTTGGTACCAAAATGAAATACGTAGCATGAGAACTAAGGTCAGAAGAGTAAAAAGAGTATACACATTTTTGTTTTTACGCTTAAGCGATAAAAACGCAGCGCGCACATTCGGTTGGCTGAGTGACCTTTGCGGAGAGCGCGAAAGTGTTAAGTAATCAATAGGTTCATTCGTCACTTCTGCCTAAGCCTGCTTGCGTGAGTAAATTCACATTTGCAAGTGAGCTTATTATTGCAAACAGTTCCAGAGGAAAGCACAGCCATATTACAGATGTGTGATAATTACTCCATACACGTTCATTAAAATGTATTAAACCATTAAAACATTTAATTATCATCATCTAGTACCAGAAAAACATTAGGCTCATACAAATTATATACAGTGACACCTCGACTTACAAATGCCCCTATTTACGAACTTTTCGGGTTACAAGCCCAATTTCTTTGTAAAATCCGAATCAGGTTACGAGCTTTGCCTCAGGAAGTGAAGCTTGTTGATACATGTATGGCCGACCTAGCTCGTGGTGGCACGGCGATCGCGCCTCAGTTTACCAGTGTTTCCCGCCTAGTGACAATTGCGTCTGAATTCTTTGTAAAGAATTAAAAAAAAAATAAGATTTTTGGGTATTTGAACATAAAATTTGTTATTATATATCTCTCGCCATGGGTACCAAGAAAGCCAGTGGTAAGGTTCAAGCCAAGAAAACACATGTGAGAATGACCATAGAGGAAAAACAAGAGATTATTCGTGAACATGAAAATGGTACACGGGTTGTTGAACTAGCTAGGCAGTACACACAAATCTATGTCAACAATATGTACTGTACTTGCTAAGAAAAAGGACATTATGAGTGCTAAAGTGGCAAAAGGAGTATCAACAATCACGAAACAAAGAACACAAACACTTGAGGATGTTGAAAAGTAGTTATTCATTTGGATACACAACAAGGAGTTAGCGGGTGATAGCATTTCAGAGGCCATCATTTGTGAGAAAGCAAGACAATTGCATTAAGACCTTTTAAAGAAAACCCCTGGAACGAGTGATGCTGATATAAAAGAGTTTAAGGCAAGCAGGGTATGGTTTGAAAAATTAAAAAAAAAGTGGTATTCATAGTGTTGTGAGGCATGGGGAGGCTACCAGCTCAGACAAACTAGTGGCTGAAAGATTTATTGACGAATTTAAAGATTTGGAAGGGGACTCCCCTTAAAAAACACGAACACCTCTCCTCCTCCCCTAATGTGCCTATTATTGCTATAGTAAGGAGGGTGAAGAAGAGTTAAAAGGATTCACAGAAGATTTGGGTTTATTAGGTATAAAATTTACTTTGAAGTTAATGTTTTGGGAGTCTGGAATTATCAGGGGCAGTCAGCTGTAGTATCCTCAGTGTCTTGTGTGGTGACTCATGTTGTTTATTAATCTGGACATAGTGAACTTTAAGTTCGATTGCTTGAATTATGATACTTATGTTAAATATAATTGATGAATTTATTGTTTGAATAGTCTTTAATTTTGTTCCCTAGAGTTTTGTGAATTGAGACAAGAGAGCCTCTGAGTTTACTGATTTTATGATTTTATATGAGTACATAGTTAGAGTTGGTACATGAACTACTAGGGTAATTTTGTGATACAGACAAGTTCCATTCCTTGTCGTGTATGTAATGACTTAGGATGGATGGTGGCAGCCCTATCTACCTCTACTTATCTACCCTTCTACTTCTACCTATCTACCTTCTACCACTACTTTCTACACTCTCTCCTCTCCCTCTGCCTCGCTTCAAACTTTCCCTTTCACCTGACCACTCCTTGCTTCTCCCAGATTCTTTCCCTTACTCCTCCCATCTCCCTCCTACCTCTCTTCCTCCCACAGCCCAAACCCTCATTACTTCAATCTTTTCCTTTCATTTTTCGATACATTACACCTCGATTAACGAATTTAATCCGTTCTGGCACCGAGCTCGTCATGTGAAACGCTCGCCTTTCGAAACTAATTTCCCCATTTAAAATAATGGAAATAAAATTAATCCGTTCCACCCCCAAAAACATCAATACGACATTTTATAATGTAAATATAATACTTGTAATTATTATAAATGTTTTGTTTTACTATTTTCAATTGTACATGTACTTTACCTTATGAACAGTCGTTGCTGGTTTGAGGGAGACGATGGGGAGGTGGGGAGGAGGAGGAGAGGGGTTATGGTGTGGAAGGGGAATCCACCCCCCTGAGTCAGGCGATTTCTTTCTTCAAATCTGCAGCAATTGTGTCTTTCTTCCTCTTGATAACACTATTTTTAGCAAGCAGCTTCTTTGGGGACATCGTGGGTACACAAATGAACACTTTTATAAGACAAAAAAAAAATTTCCTCCCTACCAGGGGATAAGTAAATATCTAACAGAAAAATTAAAATTTGATCTCGAGGCAACCTTTGGCACAGTCCATACTCTAGTATACTCCTGTGACAAACAAGTTCACTAAACCGAATTAACTGTGAAAATCAAGTCATGATGAAGGGAAGCATTATTCTAGAATTTAAAAACAGCTTTTCAGAAGTGCAATGTTTTGATGCACCCAGTTAGTATCAAAGAGCAGCAAGAGAGCAGAGCGAGTGATAAGTGCCAGACACAAAGATCCAGGACTTTATAATACTGTAATGGGGTGATGCAAAAAATTACCTGCTCATTCTGAATCCATAAATTCCAATAAAGTATTGGAGGCCAGGACAGAGCCTTGAGGCACTCCACTTACAACATTTTTCTGTTTGTATGAATTCTGACAAAGGCATCCCTATGACTCACAAGATGTGATGGCTTATACTTTTCTCTCTCAATGCTATCATTATATCATAAATACAGTAATTTTCAAACTCAGTGTATAACATTTCGATAACAAATATTACCTCGAGTCAGGAAAATTGTCATTAAACAAAGATACTTTATATGCAACACAATATGCAGAAAGAAAGATTATAAAACTTAAGAATTTAAATAATTTATATTTAAGATCTCAAAATAAATGTCATCACAGGTTTTATCATTTTTGTAATAATAATTATTTTCTGGAAGAAAATTCATATGATTTATACTGACTTTCCATACCAATCAGCTTTGTAGTTTAGATAAAATAATATCTGCAGTTGGTAATCTTGATAACAGCATTAGTCTTCATGCAGCTGGTTTTACCAGACTAGTCAAAATTTATATGGGTAAAGATACTAAAATTATCATATAATTAAAGAAGTTCAGTGGAGTTCTACTAATCCAGATGTCAATGGAGTAGATATCCTGGATGTATTAATTTAATTAATTCATTTTGTTGGGAGACAGGCAGCCTGTGTATATATACATGTTAAGACTTATATCGAGGCCTCTTCGAGTCGAACTACTGACTCCCCAAGGATGCAAGCCCACAAGAAGCTGACTAACTCCTAGGTACCTATTTACTGCTAGGTGAACAGACGCATTAGGTGATATGAAACGTGCCTAACCATTTCTGTCCCACCCAAGATTTAAACCTAGAGTTCCTGATTGTGAGACAAGAACAAACTCAACTGGGATCACCACTAATTAAATAAGATTTGATATGGTTATGGTCACATGTTGCCTCTGGTTAAGTCTTCACAGCTAAAAGCAATTCCTGCTGATCTGCATTTGTATTGGAGGTACCCAAACAAAGCATCAGTTTAATTATTTTGTCATTTTCTTTATTTTGTTATTTAATAAACAAAAATATGCATTCAGTCATTTGTGCTAATCAAAATACAGTACCTTAAATTTGCCAAATATTGTAACAAAAATAAAAAATCTAGTTTTAATGAAATGCTGGATGCAAGGGAAGAGATCCAGTCTCTACTGATCTGGGTTAGGAGGACTCCAATGCTAATTACTAAATAAGATCTCTAAAATGATAATCAAATACTCTGAAATCATCTTCATATATCTTAATAAGGTCCATCTGTTGTGTTTTTGATAGCGTATCAAAATAGGGCTCGACATGGGCTGTTGTCTTGGAGGGAATAACATCAGGAAAGTGAAGGGACGGTGGTGCTCCAACCTGCCTCAAGATGTATTCTGAGTCCTCAGCAAGTGTCTCATACTTCCCTATGAACTGATATCTGTTTAAAATATAGATGAAATCAAGTAACCTCATGAAAAAATCATACAATATGTTCTATAGTACTGCATAGGCATTGAACACATCAAAATGAGCATTATGCAATTACACTCTTCAAGTCTTTGCACTTAAAATTTAAAGAGATTATTAGTTATTTTAATAAATTTTCATAAACAATGCTTACATACAATTTTAATGAAAATTCAACCTTTTACAAAACCCCTGTTACAGATTACTCCACTAAATCACCAGTGGTTTCATCACCACTCAAGCAGCAGTGCCTGATTGCTTGTAATAGAAGACCTAAGAAAATATACAATATGGATTAATACAGAAATCTAATTTGTAACTTACCTGACTGAACATGGATGGCATATAGAAGACATAGGTGCCCAATGTTCATTGAATTGATCAGCTTTGGAGTCTATCAAATATGAGACAAACTCTGAGAACTTCACTCCATGACCATTGGCTGGAACTTCAGATGGATCAATGCCTTTTCTATATTTCTTGATTATTTTCACACCGAAGCGCTTTTTAAAGTAAGAGGATGATGTATAATTTTTTTCAAATTTGTTTCTGAATGCTGAAAGTACTCTTTCAATTGGATGACGGACAAAGAGGAACTTTGTGTATGTGTGAAGACGATGACGAATTTCCTGAGGCTGAAAACAAAAGGCTATATTAACTAAATACACCAGAGATTGACCATTAATATAAACTTTACTGGTTACTTAAAAATTTAAATGCAAGCTACTTTTTTATACCAAATATTATTATATTTTTTTATTGCATATGATAGAACATGCTTTTATGCAGATTTTGATACCAATATCACTTTTTGTGTTTTGATTTTCATCACCAAATTTTGGTCTAATAAATGCACAAATTCTCTCCACTGGATGACTTTCATTTTTTACAAATGCAACCAAAAATATTAATCATACTATTGGAGCAGCAGCCTTTCACTGCAGATGATGAGTCACAATAACGTGGCTGAAGAAATGATAACCAAACCACAACTCGGAAGATGGAGACGTGACGACATTTTGGTCCGTCCTGGACCATTATCAAGTCATGTGGTGCATCCTTTCATTGCATCTGGCTTTCAGGTATACCAATTTTTGTACAAGCAAAAGTCCACTACAGAGGTGAAAGCATCCACCGGTCTCAGAAACTGAGCATCTTGATACTAAGAACCAGCTAGAGAAGTCATGTGGAAGAAAGCCTATTCTAGGTTACACACTGACAAATCAAGGTTAATTTTTCTTCTTAAGAAAGACCTTTTCTGTCACAAAAGGAGCAGGGAATAAGCCCAAAGACACTGTAGCAATCACAACTCAAGAATCTTCTGAATGTGAATATAGAAGAGTTAATTTGATGGCTGCCCATTACTATTACAAATTCTAGGGAATAAGGAGACCAAGTCCAGGCCAGAGCTCAAGACACCAACTGCAATGCCCAGGAATTCCAGGCCCAAGTTTGACAAAAGACCTGAAGATATCCCTCCCCCTTCCCTCATGCCATCACTAGGGCCTACCATGAAGAGCAGCTGAAAGAAATGACCTTGGTACAATCTTACCGAAGCCAGTAAGACTCACCAACATGAACCAGAATGGACCAGAGTAACAACAGCTGCAGTCACTTGGCAAAAAGAAGCACCAGAGCCTCTACCTCATGTAGGAACCTGAGTAGTAGTTCCCTGAACTTTCCTTCCTTGGGAATATTGAAGAGCCAGCATCAGTTAGAATACCTGATTCAGTGGCTGGAAAGATTCTCAAATGTCACCCAACACTCGCTGCACCTATTCCTCTGCAAAAAAGATCAGAGAAAGGCAGAAAAACCTGAAATGGGCCAAAATCTGTGAGCTTGCAGGCAAGATGTGGGGGTGAAAAGCCAGCAGCTGCATCATGTTGGATATTAGCAAACATGTTAGGCAGAACCATAGTCATTGCCAATATAGCACCAGAGATACAACTCGCTCAAACCCTCCACCTGAGCCTGCTCAGACTAGAGCTAGGAGAATTCATGGCAGGCAAAGAACTTAACATCTGTTAGGCATGTACTGCATACACTTTGAAGCACTATATGACACAAAAAGATGTTGTAATAATGGGGTAACCAGAACAAGAAGCTGCCAAAAGGTCACCTCATGAGTTAGAACCAGGGCATAAAGGACCCAAATAAGCAAGCCTACAATATTTCCTGATAATACCACAATAAAGATGGGCAAGGCCACCTGCTACTCAAACAAAAGTACAGATGCCACTTTTCCAGAGGGGAAAATAAGGGATTGACTGCTGGTCAAGCTGGAGTAAGAACATGGTACTACAACCAAGAAGCAAACATGAACCCAAGATAAATTCAACTTTTTCTTAAAGCTGGATCCAGATCAGACACATGGTCCTTATATATACTAATACTGGGGCACTTAGCGAGTGCAAAGAGTTGGAGGCAATAATCTACTAGGTGTAGCGAGTACAATATTGCAGGCTGAAAAAATGCACGGAGTTGGTGCCTTGAAATTCATGGTGCTCGGGTGAACTCCAGGTTGCATAACTTTTAGCATAACATGGTTCATCGGTAAGGCGAGCATCTAGGGCAACTCAAAATGCTGGTTTGATCTCACTGTACTACTCCAAAGATTTTATCACAGATTTTTTGCATCATGTTATTGTGATTTCATTGTGTATTTGATGGAAGTATTAGGTGAAGAGCATTATTTACCTACACCAGAGTGTATGCATTTTACAATGAAAAATTGGACTTAGTACTAGCTTGGTGTCTCTAAAATTCCTAGTGAGAGCGGGTAATTACCTAAGTGAAGTTACAGGATGAGGGGCCCCTGACAGGGACCCTGACAGCTGAGTGGACAGTGCTTGGAATTCGTAGTCCTGAGGTTCTGGGTTTGGTCCCCGGTAGAGGCGGAAACAAATGGGCAGAGTTTCTTTCGCCCTGATGCTCCTGTTCACCTAGCAGTAAATAGATACCTAGAAGTTAGACAGCTGCTACAGGCTGCTTCCTGGGGGGGTGTGTAACAAAAAGGCCTGGTTGAGGACCGGGCCGCGGGGATGTTAAGCCCTGAAATCATCTCGAGATAACCTCAAGAAGATAACCTGAAGATGAGAGCTACACTTGCGGTGTCCCGTCCAGCACTCTTTGTCATAACGCTTTGAAGCTACTGACAGTTTTGGCCTCCACCACCTTCTCACTTAACTTGTTCCAACCGTCTACCACTCTGCTTGCGAAAGTGAATTTTCTTATATTTCTTCGGCAGCTTTGATTTCAGGTTATGTCCCCTTTAGCAAATCATGGAACATTGGGAAGGCATGCATCTGGGGTGACACATGATGCTGGTTTGATCCTATTGTCCTGCTTATCAAAGATCTTATCAAAGGTCTTATCAAAGATATATCATATTACAGTATTGTGATTTCATTGTGTATGTGTAAGATATATATACAGTATGTTGATTAGTTGAAAGTTTTGTTGATATATGTGAAACAAGACATAAATCAGTGTCAACAAAAAGAAAGCAATGGTGGTGGAAAAGGAAAAAAAGTGTGAAATAGGAGTAAATGAGAACTTTTTAGAAATGGTTGATCAGTTTTGTGAGAAGTTGGATTTTGGCCCACTTCTCATCTAGCTTACATCTATTAGGTAGTAGAAGAAAATAGCATTTTGCCTCAGAAAATTACAGAGCTATGCACAGGGTGTGCACAAAAGTCTATCTTCCTTGTTAGTGGAAATAGAGGGGCAAAATTATATCTCTTTCAAAAGGGGGATGCCTTCAGCATTCCAATGAAGTAACTCTCATTGCCGTAGGTAGTCTTAGTGAATAGTTACGGGTTTCCTCCAAATTCTGTAACTTTGGTCCCTGGTAACAGAGAGAAAGAGAGAAAGAAGGGAAGGGGGACCATCTCAAGTACCTAACGGTTCCCCTTTGTCGGTGACGTGACGTCATCAGGCGTCACCTGCCGGCTCCGCTCTCATTGGTAGCGGCATTACTAGCTCTAGGCTTCCCAATCGCTGATTGGTCGAGTGCCTGGTACCAAAGGAGCCGCTGCCTGAATTCTCGCGCCAAAATGCTGCTGGTGTGAGATTCCCGCGCCTCAGGCCAGTATTCTGTACTAGCTGGATGGACTGACCGGACGTGCATGCCGCTGTTCCCGGCCAGAGCAGTGCTTGTTGTCCCATCTCCATCAATGTCTATCTAGCAGAAGTGATTCTATGCCGCTCAGTGATCGCTGCCACAGAATCCAGCAATTGTGGGCGCCGTCAGAAGTAAGATAACGAAGATACGCAAGAGTGACATAGCCACCACATGTGCTACCCGCAGATGCAACAGGACTGTGCCCCAGCAATCGTGCGACATCGGCTTCACTGAGATCAATCCGTCATTTTATTGCTCAGTAACTGTGAGAAATAAGAATCAGGAAGCGATTCTATGTGTTTGAGTGAAGTATCGTGTGTACTTCTTTGATACTGTAAGCGTGGAGTTAGTTTATTTCCCGTCCTCGCCATTGTGTTCCGGCGTCCCTCGTGGTGCCCCCATATATATGTACTGTATATATATTTATATATTCCAGTGTGCATACCTTCAGCAATAATCACGCTTGTGCATAAAACCAGTGTTTATAGGGAGCGTGCACTCTCCCAGTTGTTGGTGGGAGAGTTGTTTAGCCATTCTCGACCTTAGTGAAGCGCGCGCGGCCATCTCACCGGCCGCCCAGGGCCTAGGAGTAGGGGCCTTGCCTCATGCCTGCCATACCTCGTGCCTCGTCTCACTGTCCAGTCTCTACCTTGCTTGCTGCCTCTGAGCGCAGTGTTCCCCACTCAGCCTCCACCTCACTCCGTCATCCCTGGCTTGTGTTTCAATCAACAGTTGGGTAGTTTTTTTTTTTTTTCTACCACAGACGTGGCCACACATTTATAATGCTAACCAGCATATATACATTTTCTTCTGTCCTCCATGGACAGGGTTAGAGAAGTGTTAAAAGGTAGTTCAAGTGTTTATTGAACACTCAACCACAGAAGGTGATTCGGTGCTTTTAAAATGCTAAGCTAACCTACATACGTAAATACATAGATACACAGATTTACGTATGCCCTACATAAAGTGTTTGATGTGTCTTTTACATAGTGTCATTAATGTACATTCACAAAGGTGAAATGTAATTCTGATCAGCTTCCATATATACTTTATACCCATACATATACATACATATATACACATACATGCATTCACATACATTTGTCTCATTTACTCTGACAGGGTGAGATAGCTGATAAAGAAACTAGTGTGCAATTAAGCGCTTAATCACTGAAGGTGATGAAGGTGCTTTTACAAGTTCAGGTTATATAGTTACATCATATACTGTATATACATTGTATAATTGATATATTACATGGTCAATCTTGGATACAAGTCCAATATATCATCAAGTGTTCCAGTACTCATATAGTAATTACAGAGTTCAGCATACCTTAGCCCAGGAGGGCGAAAGTCAGTCAGTATGGGACATTCTACAATATAATGTTCAAGAGAGTGCATGTTTTCTCTTTCACAAAGTTGACACATTGTGTACTCGACATTTGGGTTTTGAGAAAGCTGCCAGCTAAGTCTATATCCCAGGCGTATTCTGGCCACTATAACATCACATTG